ACCTATTCTGAGTCTTACAAATTAGTTTGATTTCTAGAAGGGACCCAATGGAGAGTCAATCTCTAGCTAAGGATGCCTCTTTAATAACTAGGGCTGTGTTTTTAGTCTCCCAAGCTTAAGGTCTAAACAAAGAGTGTCATAGTTTGAGGACATTTCTTCTTTAGATATGTTACCATATATTATATAGGGGTCTCTTTCATAAAATTAGGATTTTTCAGACTACAGAAATACATGATTGTCTTAGTTCTTACTGTTAGGAAAAAAGCCATTTAATTTTTCCTAGATCTACCATATTTGCCATGTAGAAGGCACACTTTTTTTGCCCAGATTTTTGAGGGAAAAATAAGGATGTGAATTACACATGGGTAGAGCCTAAAACACCTTGCCTCTGTTCTTGTGTTTTGTAATTATTTGTTGCATAAAATTTCTTGCACCATAATATGTTCAAAATAAATGCTTAAATTCCTTTATAATACAAAACACAAGTATCTAAATGTAAATAAATAAATAATTTATTTAAAAAATTTAAACAAAGGATTTTTTTCCCTGAAAGTCTGGGCCACAAATTGGTGTGCATTATACATGGGAGCACATTATACATGGCAAAATGCAATAAATTCTAGTCTGAACATGGTTTATACCAGGGGTGCCCAACCCACGGCCCATGGGCCACATGTGGCCCAGGATGGCTATGAATGTGGTCCAACACAAAATCATAAATTTACTTAAAACATTCTTTAGTTTTATTACTACATTTTGTACTAAGTTTTAGTACTTAGATATGTGCATTTTCTATACTAGTGATCACAAACTTGGGACCTGCTTGATAATATTAAAACATTATCAAAAGGGCCACTGCATAATTAGGGTTATTATGCTTATCTGTGGTGGTGGATATCATGAAAATTATGCGTGGACCTTTTTATTTGCTTACCAGTTTTCATTAATATTTCTGCAATTAACATGTGTCCCAAGACAATATTTCTTCTTCCAGTGTTGCCCAGAGATGCGAAAAGTTTGCACGCCCCTATTTTATGCTGTCTCATTATTAAAATTTTTGCTTAGAATTTTTTGTTTGGGGTTCTAATATCAGAGATTATGTCCATTTCCCCAAATCAACAGGCACGGTCCACTGATATTCCACCACATTTTTTTTTTAAATGGGAGGACATAAAATATATTAAAAAGAGAAAAATGAAAACTACTCTAGAATTCCTTCTTAGTTTCCAACATTTTAAACTGTAAAAATTTAATAACTATATCAAAATTTCTTTGGAGATAAAATCTGGCTGGCCACACACGGCCATTCACAAGGAACACTTGTTGAGTCATCATTATTGTAAAAATATTTTTAAATGTCAGATGTTTGGTTAAACTTTACAAAGAGCCCCTTTAATCATTAGAAGTTCGATGTTAATTGCATTTACTTAATGTTTAATTCACAAATGTCTACAGCATTTTAAATATTGGCTTTTTTTCCCCTCAACTGTGTGACTTTGTGTAGCAGGGGACATTTGGCAATGCCTGGGGACATTTTTGGTTGTTATAACTGGAGGGAAGGGACTACTGGCATCTAGTGGGTAGAGGCCATGAAAGCTGCTACACATCTTGCAACGCACAGGACAGTCTCCACAACGCAGGGTTATCTGGCCAATGTGTCAAAAGTACCAAAGTTGAGAAACCTTGGTCTAAATATACATGGCATTTGCCACAAATGGCCAACAAGGAAACATGACAACCATTAGCCATGCATCCTGTGTCAAAGCCAATGTGGTTAAGAATATAGTCCCCAGGAGAAACACTCTTGATTTATATGAACAGCCATTTGGGAACTGATTTATATGAGTAGTCATTTGGAAACCACCTTTTTAAGGTAGAGAGTTAGGTATTTGACACCCTGAGCTAGAACCATAATACATTTTTCATTAGATTAAATATTAAAATAGTGACACAATTCCCTGGGTGGCCCATAAAGGACTCAATGCAGTGGAAATAATGTATGACATGAATCAAAAGAGATCATTTTCTGGGTAGATAAAACAACTATGGGACATTTACACAATGGAATACTGCTTGGCTGTAAAAAGAAAAAGTTTTACCCTTTACAACAGGATGGATGGACCTGGAGAACACTGTGCTAAGTAAAATAAGCCAGTCAGAGAAAGACAAGTACCATATGATTTCACTCATATGTGGAATCTAATGGACAAACTGAACTAACAAGCAAAACAGAGACAGACTCATAGATAGAGAGCAGATGACAGCTAAGCGGGGGAGGGACTGACCAAAAAAAAAAAGGACTCATGGACAGGAACAATACTGTGGTAACTGTGGAGGCGGAAGGTGGGGGTGGGGGGGAGGGCAGTATAAGGGGACTAAACGGTAAAGGAAAAAAAAAACAATACACAAAAAGAGATCATTAGTGTTAATTTGTTTCCTACCACCTCATTTCATGAAAAATGTACATTACTCACATGATTCAGAGGTCAGAATTTTTCATTTGCCTGAGAATGTAATTACCAGGTATGGCAGTTTCTCAGACAGACATTTGAAAATGGATGATGCCCCTGGCTGGGTAGCTCAGTTGGTTAGAGAGCCATTCTATACATACACCAAGGTTGTGGTTCAATTCCCAGTCAGGGCATCTACAAGAATCAACCAATGAATTCACAAATAAGTGGAACAACTAAGATTGATGTCTCTCTCTTGATCTCTCAAATTAATCAATAAAATTTTTTACAAAATGAATGATGCACTAACCAAATTTGATTTGATCCCTTGTGTTTAAAAAAAGAAAAAGTTGAGTCAATATTTATATTAAATCAAGTTATGCATTTTTTTTAAATAAAATTTTTTCAGCTATTTTTGGGGAAGGAAGAAAAAAAGCTCTGGCCAAACTAGGCCAGAATTCTTAAATGGTTATGTGGAGGAAATGGCTGATAACCCAGATTTTAGCAAGTCCTCTGGAGGTCACCAGAGACCAACCATGTCCCATTTACCTCTCTGGTGCATTATTTTAGTCCCTGTAGATAGTTGATTTTGTAGATGGTTAATAATTCTCAGGGAAAACATCTTTCTTAGTGTTTAGCAACTAAATTACAAATGGGAAAGAAGCAACTCATGACTAGAAGTAGTCCTATAATCAAGAATGAACTACAATTAGTGAAGGAAGGAATCCAGTATATACCGTATTTTGCCATGTATGATGCGCACCCACATTTTTGTGCACATTAGACATACGACTATTATGCCCATTATACCCATGGTATGTAATCATTATACCCATGTATAATGTACATCATTATTTTTCCCTTAAAAGTTTGGGCAAAAAGTACATATTATACATGGCAAAATATGGTATTCTGGGCCAAGGAATATCACTGTCAATAGCCTTTATTTATTGATTTTGTGTTCTTAAATGCTTATAAAATTACAAATAGAAGATCTTGTACTTTCTTCCAACCTTCCAAAAGATTTTCATTCACATCCTGCTTTGGACTCCAATGTATCTGATTCACAATGATCTCAATCTTATTTTCATACACAGTTGGCAAACAGAGTAAACGCCACGCAACAAGCCAGGGCTCCACAGGACAGAATGGCTTTAACAGGTCTCAGGGCCACCCCCCTCCACCTGCCCCGGGTGAGTGGTTCTAACCTTGGCTCTATATTGAAACTACCAAGAAGCCTTCAAGAAGTGCCAATACCTGAGTTCCCCTACCAGAGACATGGTAGAATGGGTCTGAACCTTGACCTGAATGGCAGGAACTTTAAAAGCTCCTAATGTATAGCCAACGTTGAGAACCTGGACTCACGAGGCTGTGTGGTGAGGGGGCAGTTTGAAAATGCCCCTCCCCTCTAGAAGCCTCCCCTTCTAGGGGCTTTGATGCACGTCAGAGGAGTAAGCTCTCAAACTGAGCATTACTGCCTTTAGTCTTCAAGGGCAAGGTCAGAGGTAGGAAACGACTGCAGAAAAGATGGTGAGAGGCTATTTCGGGTGTACAGGGCTGAGCTGTTTTCATGACACTTCTGACACCAAATGGGTATCCAACCGTCCAATTCACTTCTGTCACTCGCTCCCCAAGAGTTAGTGCGGACCCCACAGACTAAGGAATCAGTCACATTCAGGACACTCCCCTTCGGATGTCAACAGAAAATGGGGTGCCCATTATCAACCCTTACGGTCAGAAAAATTTGATAGGACTCCTGAAAACACGTGACCACTAATACCAGTGTATTAGAAAGGATAAGATTCAGGAACAGCCAAATGGAACGGCTACACAGGGCGCAGTACGGGGAAAGGGCACAGGGCTCCCGTGCCCTCTCATTGCACACCCCGCTCTCAGCCCTTGAGGTGTCGTAGACCCAGCAAGAAGCTCTGCAAGTGTGACTGTTCGAGAGTTTTCATGACCCAGCTTCTAGGTATCCCCTCCCCTTTCCAGAGGTTGGTGTGTGGGGCCAACAGTCCCAACCCTCTTATCTGATGACCAACCCCATCCTGGGGCTCCCTTGGGGACCCCACACCTAAGTCACCTCATTATCAGGGCCAGGCTGAAGGAAGTGCAGGGAGGTGATGGGTAACCTTCAAACTCTCACCATAAAATAGAGGGGGTAAAAAATCTTATGTTATCCACCAATAAAACTTTGTAAAAGTGGAAGAGTTAGCCATTTCTAAGACCTCAAAGTTTCCCCAAACTACCATCTTGAAGGCTTGCTTGCACAAAATTCATTGGGCAATAGCCAGATATCCACGGAGCTTTTCCCTCTTGCCAGAACTGAAATCTGTTACCAAAGCCTTGTGGGGGGGGGGGGGGGGGGGGGAGCTTGTCTGGAACTGTCTGGGCTCCTAGCAGGTAATTTACACTGATCTTTGAAAACCATTCACCCCTCCGCCACCCCTTTATAAAACAAACCTGCCTTTCAGAACAGCTCTGAAAGGGGGGTCAGAAAGCCCAGAGGAGGAGACCAGTCCCTGACCGAGTCTCTCACCTATCACTCACCGAATTCAGGCCACAAATAGCTGTGGCCGTGTTCTCATCTCCAGACACCATCGCTTCCTCTCAACACCATGTATCCTTCCAATTCGCCTCTTGTACTATTCCTGAAACAAAGCCTCTCCTCCCTATAGAGAGAAATAACAAAGCAAAGAGTGCGCAGGATGCCAGGTGACTACAAAACTTACCTCCCTGGGCAGCCCATTAGGTTCAGGCTGGATCACCAGGCGACCTTGTGCACCGTGAAAAATGAGAAGTGTGTGGCAGGCAAGAGTGCCTGTGTTTTGCTCTGCATCTGAGATAAAGCGCTGTACGGGAAGGAAAACGGCTCTGAGTGAGAGCTAACTCTTCAAAAGCTAATGACCAAAAGCTGAAAGAACTGGAATCAGAAATTGGTGCAAAAAAAAGAAAAAAGAGAGAGAGAAGAGGGGAAGGCAGGGAGGGAAGGGAAGGGAAGGGAAGGGAAGGGAAGGGAAGGGAAGGGAAGGGAAGGGAAGGGAAGGGAAGGGAAGGGAAGGGAAGGACACTGTGTTTAAGAAGGATCACCTGATCACCTGTTTTCATAATAGAACTAGCAGCGCGAGTTTCCTAGGCTTGCGCATGAAGATCAGGGAGGAAGCAGGAAGGCTGGGAGAAGCCTGAGGACTTCTGAGCTCCCTCACTTCCACCTCCACCCCCACTAGCGTCTTTTCTAGTGGTTCCAGTCGCCAAGGTGTCACTTGTCAAGCTGACGTCGGCTTCCGCATCAGTGAAAAGGGGGTAAACTTCTTTCGCAGGGCTACGGTTATGATTAAATGAAGTTAAAGTCGTTGGCACCCAGGGGACCGCAGTGAGTGACTGCTCGCTTCTAGCCTATCCACGCCTGCAGCCAACTCCTCCGATTTCTAAGCTTACACTCCCTTTGCGAACCAAGGTTAAAGAGGCCAGAAAATGTGGCTCGCAGGTGAAACTGGGGAACAGAGTGTTAGTTCCCGTCGCCACTGATCGGACCGAAAAGTAGGATCGCGGGACAGCGCCCTGCGTCGTCCCCCGCCCTCGGCGCACACGCTTGCAGAGGGTTCCCACCGCGTGCCTCCTCTTCCTGCCCCAACTCTGCTTCCTCTACGCGGGCGGAGCCCACCCCGCTCCAGGCAGCGGGACGCCGAGAGCCGGCTACCCCTCCCATCCTTCCCATCCCTTCCCGGTCGCCAGGCGGCGAAACTGCGAAGCCGGTAGGGGGTTGGTTACCTGCAGCGAGAGTGTGGCGCCGGGGGCGCGGGAGAATACGGTATAGTGTAGCAACCCAGAGAAGCCACACGGCCTCGTTCCCCTCCAGGCACGGGCTCCCGGGGCTCTGCGCTGAGTTCCCAGCGTTCTGGTACCTCAACTCCAGCCTCCCGGACCCCGCCAGCACGCCACGCCCCTGGGGCCTCCCCCTGGGCCCCGCCCACCGCCTCGCCGGCCAGCCCACCTCCGCGCGCGCCGGGCCTGGGGCTCGCGCTCCTGGCCGGGGCCTTCGCGCCCTCTGGGCTGTACCGGCGTCTGGGAGGAGGTCCTGCCTCTGCCTCCTCAGGTTCGCGTTGGTTCCCAGCTCTCCAAAGGGCTTCAGGGCTGGGCGTGTGAATGGGGTCTTTTTCAAAATTTTACGTCCCCTTCCTCAGAGGCAGGAAACGCGAGAAGTACTGCTTTTTCTGATTTTAAACATGAAAATGTTTTACAACAAAAAAGGAAAAAGATGATGCCAACGTTCTTTATATCGTATAAAGTTCAGAGATGACCATGTTTTTCCTGCCCTCCACCCTTCATGAATCTTGCTTACTAAATTTGGTATTTGAAAACTCACTATGTTCGCCCTGACCGGTGTGGGGCAGTTGGTTGAGCATGGGATCCCCGTGGGGCGCATGCGAGAAGCGACCAATGTTTCTCTCACACGTTTCTCTCCCTCTTTTTCTCCCTCCCCTCCCCTCTCTCTATAAACAAACAAACAAACAAGCAAATAAATATAAATAAAAACATTACGTTAATGGGTACTTTCCCATAAAAACTAACATTACGTATGGAACAAGCCACAGGGCCATGCAAAGCAGTGAACATCTTTCGCCCGCCCTTACAGCATAGAGCATTGGGTCTTTTATAAAAGTTGACAATGTCCTTTGTAACAAGAGTAACATTGTCTATTTGTCCTCTTCCGTTGGATTTGTTACCTCTGGTAGGAAAACAGGTTCTTACTCATCTTTGTATCATTTATTAATTTAACCCGCAGGTATTGCATGAAGGAACATACGCAGTGCCTACCCACCGTGTCCTGCTGGATCTGTCGGGTAAAGCCTGAGACCCTGTGAGCAGGTAGCGTTCCCTGTAACTGCTTGCTGACCATCGTTCTGACGAAAGAAGGTCATTGCTCTAGGCATGCAGAAAGCAGGGCTGGGCTGGCCTGGAGGACACCACTGAGTCTCTGATGCCGACCCTTTTGCGCTTTGGACCTGATGAGGCTAAATAGTGTCCAGGGCGAGGGTGTGTGTGGGGCGGGGGGGTGGCGTTCTTAGGTCCACGCAGAGCAGAGGTTGACAGAGCCACCTAAGTAGAGCTAATAATAAGTGGAGCTAATGAAATATAACTGGAGGAAAGTAAAGGTTGCCCTTTTCCCAAGGAGATTCCTCCTCCAATGACAGTTTTGGAACGTCTTGCTTTAATTTTTCTTAGGAAAGTAATCGTCTTATAATACATTATGTGGAGGACCTAGAACTAAGGGAACACATGAGCTTCTTTTAAACTCTTTTTATTTTTTATCATGGGAACAAAAGTGTGAACCCAAATATACACAGAATTTGCATTTCATCCAGAACAACAACAACAAAAAAGTAATTGCAGTTTGTTTTCTCCCACTATTGCTAATCCAGATGACCTTTTTTACTAAGGGACATAATGATATATTAAAATTCCTTAAGTAAAGACATTGTGAAGTCAAGTTTGTTGCAAAACCCACATATGGCATTCTGAAATCAAAGGCACAAGTTTTATTAGGTCAATGTTTGAAACTAAGCCTTTCAATTCTTTCCACTAGACTAACTATATTTCCTCCATTCTCACTTGACCAGTTTTTTTCTTACTGGGCTAAGTTACATAAAGGATATTTTAAGTTTGTTTTTAATCACCAATACTTAGTAGGCTGGCAAGAATATACTTTTGGATTTCTAAAGGAGTGATCAGATTTGCTTGCTTTTGATTATCTACTCATGTTGTTAAACATTTGTATCTGAAAAAAGAAAAAACTGTGCACATCCTGTGACCCAGCAATTCTACTCTTTGGCAATATACTCAAGAGTTGTATCGTCTAATGCAGTAGCCTCTACTGCAGCAGCTACTGAGCCCATGAAATGTGTCTAGACAGCATTGAAATGTGTGAGAAGTGTAAAATACACAGATTTTGAAGGTTTGGTATAAAAAATTAATACTTATTTAAATTTATTTTAAAATTTCAATGATTTATAGTTGATACAGTAATATAATATAAATAATTTAATAATTTAAACATCACTAACATTTTAAAATTAAAAATAAAAAAATAAAAAGGTGAATAAAATTTGTTATTGTAACAGTGGAAAATTATAACAGTAGGAAATTATAATCTACCTCAACATTCTTTTGACATTGTTTCTGTAAGTGTGGATTCTAATATGTGGCTTCTACATGAAGAGCATGTTTGTGTAAGAATCCGAGGAACTGGCTTCAAAAGATACAGACTCCAACTTTCAAGCATCCCAGCTCCAGAAGATTTGCTGACTTTCAGCAGTGGACCCAGAATGACATGAACTCAGGATGACAGGAAGAGCACACTGACCATCGCTTGCCTTATCAGAATGGACTGGGCTAGTCTGCGCGTAGAGAACTTTGCAACCCCCTCCCTTGTTCTCTTTGTTCTGTTCCCCTTTCCCTCCTTATAAAGAAAAGCTTTGCCTCCAGTGAGAGGTAGAGATGCACTTTGAGACATGAGTCCCCCATCTTGCAGGTGGCCAGCATCTGCGAATGCTATCAGCACCTGCCTCTTGAGTATTGGCTTTTGTAGAGGCAGGCAGTCGGACTTCGATGACATTACTAGCCCAGTAACTGAAACTTTGAATATATGTTGCTGTTAAAAAAAGAAACACAAGCCAACATGGAGTTACTTTGCTAAGCCACATCACCAAACCAAAGCTTAATAACTAATCTAATTGCAGTTTCACCCTCTCCTAAAAGTGGGATTTTAAACCAATCACTCTGTAATTTCCTGGTGAAATAATGAAATCAGTAGTCTGATAAAAATCCCCTACCATCCCATAAGGGGAGGTGTTCTTGCCTAAAGTTATATACTCATTTAACTTCTTTCTGCCTATAAAAGCTTTCCATTTTATACAACTCATGGAGTTCCCCTTCTAGTTGCTGGGTAGGATGCTGCCCAATTCATGAATTACTTTAATTAAGCCAATTAGATCTTCACACCTCTGTTGAATTTGCTCTGTTGAATTCTGTTCTTTAACATTGCCAAAACAATGCTAATTCTGTTCCCTAACACAATTTGTACAATATTTTGCTTCAGGTATATTATGAGCATCCTATATTATGGATTGAGATGATCATCTAATTTTAATATGTAATACTGTTTTGACAAGAAAATTATTTTCAAGATCCAAACAATGGACTTATAAATTAACTTTTAGAATATATCTTTTTGTCATTCGGATACTACATGTATCCTATAAATGTAACTTAATTGCCACAATAACATATACCCATCATAAACTTATACAAGTGGTTCAGAAGATATTTCTGGGGTTTTTTAGGGGTGTCGGGGTCTAGTCAGAAAACAGGAACCTCAGCAGTTACTTTTACGGAGACTTTAAGGAATTGCTTAAATAGGCAAAGGAGGGTTGGAAACGCATGAAGGAAAACATTGCAACAGAGAGATAGTAAATGCAGGAAGCATCTGACACTGAGAAGTGTTCAGACTATCAGAAACTAAGAGCTGGAAGAGGAATCTGAGGGAGCCGAGACTCAGACCTCCAGGAAAGGGGCCATACCCAGCCAGTGGTGGCATTTCCGAAGGTAAATGTAGGTCGCTGGGTCTGAGAAGGTAGATTAAAAACAAGCAATTGGAATCAACTGCTGCGGGCAGGGAAAGCAATTATTGCCGGGTGACAGTGGCAGTTCCAGCTCGCTGCTATTGAGAAGCAAGTCCCTTCTCCCTACTCCAGACTTCCTGTCACCTCAGGCACCCCACAACGGCAAAACCTAATAGGAAACACGGTTTCCTGAGTCACAGCCACAGCATCACCAAACGGCGTACAGAGGAATGGGTTTGAGCTTCAAGATATGCCATAATAACTGGCACAGGGAGTAAGCTCATGACTTCAAATACCCAGTATCCTAATATTATAGATGTAAGGATCTACTGGTAAACACAGCTGTTACAGTGATAATTGATACAACTATAATATATTTTTTAAATATCATAAAACTGTGGTTAAAAGTACAACTCAAGTAAAGGGACAGTGTTGACCCAAGTAAGGGCCAGCGACCCAAACTCTGTGCTCCCAGAAGATAGTGATGGCTAAAGAAACCCCTACACCCACACCATTTTGTGTTCCAGAAAGCAGCTTCCTGTGGAAAAACCACCACCTTTGCTCAAGTGACTTAGGTAGGACTCACAACGAGCTCCCTTGTTTATTTGTGCCGTGGCTAGACACGGACCCTCTAAATTATCTTCTTCATTTCATAAATGATTAGCTGAGCTGTCTGTGCCCCCTGACCAATCTGCACAAAATGCCTACTAACTTCAGTTGATTAAACTTTATTCTAGCTTCCCTTCTTCCCCAAACCTTCGAGCTTTCATCCACGCTCAGCCTCAGCCAGCATTGGGATACAGAATAAACCCCTAATGGCCCCTTCCTGGCCCACCTCAGAGAAAACCAGTCCTGACCAAGTTGTCCAATCATGCCACCTGCTCATCCCAGTCCCTGAGGCAGGTTCTTTCTAGCCATTGGACTCTTGTCTATAAAAGAAGATCACTTTTCTGCCTGATCTTTCAAAAGCTGGCACATCTTTTTTGATTGCTGATTTTTTTTTTAAGAGAGAGAGAAACAGTGATTGGTTGAACCACCCATTTATGCATTCGTTGGTTGCTCCTTGTATGTGCCCTGACTGAGGATCAAACCCATAACCTTGGCGTATCAGGATGATGCTCTAACAAACTAAACTACCCAGCCAGGGCTCAAAAGCTTACAGATCTTAGAATCGAAGCCTTTTCCTTATTACACTCCCCTCTCCCTAATCCAACAAGCCCCTTCCCTGATTGCAATAATCCTTTTGAACTAGTCTTTTTTTAGCTAAATCCATATTTGGTTTTTA